TGAGCGATCCACACCTCGCGTGGTGATTTCTGGTTTAAGCCATTGACCTAACCTTGACCTGAACTATGACTTACTCAGGCAAAAGTGGTTGCTCTAAATATCCGCCTTGTTACGAGCTTTCGATTGATGCATCCCCGTCTTTCTGCAACCAAACGTTTGGAAGTTAGACAGGGGGACAGAATCTGCTTCCTGTCACAGGTCACAGATTAGATCAAGGTCAGATCAAGGGTACTAAAACTGCAAGTTTCTACATAGCTGGCTTCGGAGTCCAACGAAGAATGGACTGAGATTGATCACCCAGAATGTGCTTATAAGCTACCACGACAGCATGTATTGCATACAATATCATGCAAAAGTTAAAGTCAAGGTCAGGTCAGGTCACCCAAAACGAGCTGTTGAATGGGAATCGTGTGACGCATGTTTATGGGTCATTTTACTCAAAGAATTCAAAGACTTTATGCTCAATTAGTGATTTGGACTATAAGATGACGTCCAGGTACCTAGAGGTCAGGCCAAGGTCAGTTCAAGTAACAAATATAAGATGAGTTTTTGAAAATGAATGTCCGCATCATAGCGCGCCGCTTACATAATTATACTTGGCTTGATCATTTTGCACGCAAACTTTTATTTCTTTGCTATGTACGTACTTACACAGTGGCGTGCAATAAGAATGTAGGCAATTTTCTGATGCGGCTCTTTTCGCGGTTCACCTGCGATCAGCAGAGCGGCAATCTCGTATGGACATGTAAGGCCGGCTGCGGAGCCGGACTGAATGTGCCCAGTGGCGAGGAAAGAGCCGATGAGAGCCGCCGAAAGGCCGGCAGTGCGCCTGACGGCCGCTGGCACAAAGGCCGCAGCGTGGGGCGTGCACAAAAGAAAGCAGATAACGTCCACCTCTGGGGTAATAGCATGGCTGTGTGAAAAAAGAAACTGAAGACCGCTACTGAAAGCATGTATGACAGATGCAGTGTATAATATCACTGCCTTTCGACCAGAATAAAAATCCATAGCATCCATGGTTTCTCGCGTTTTTTGGCGACAACCTGGCCTTTACCTGGTTTAGTTACTTCAACAGCCGGTCAGTAAACAGCTATTCGTCAGCCATTTGTCCCTCGTGACTGACAACTTTTGCTGACAATCAACATTTGATTAAATCATAATCACCTATAGTGACTTCTTCTCTCACGTCTCACAGGATCTCATCCGTTAATTTGTCGTAACTCGTGAGCGATAGTTAATTGTTACGGTGTTCTGGCTGCTAATTCAACAATCACTTGTAGGGGAAGATGGGGGAACACCGCCCACCCCGATATCAGAAACATAAAAAGGTCTAGGGCGATAGCTGACTGTCTTTTGGCAGCGTGACACTGACGACAATAGAAGTGCAGGTATGGACAGTGCACCGCATTGGCTTAGGTGATTTGCGAGAAATTTCCAATTTTACGTTTCGTGAATGCGTTTTGTATTTTTTCTAGCGTAATAGGCAGAAGAAAACTGATCATAGGTATTTGACAGTCATTAGTTCTGAAGTAGTATTTTATGCCATAATTAGGAGTTAGGACTCATCCAAGCATTACGTGCTCCTGCTCGAGCGAAATTTTTGTCGTGCTGCCATATTGAAGGATTTTTGAAAAAATGCAGACACTTGGGTAATAGAGATGTCAATCGGATTCGGATACCAACTTTTTGGTATACCGATACCAAACCGATACCAACTTGGTATTTGGTATTTCAATCGTAATGTGTTTGGTATTTTGTTAGTATCATGAACCCTAAATAATGTATAAAAGGCTAAGAAATCGGTATAAAGTTGGTATTAGTCGTTTTCACGACGGCCATCTGGTACATATTTGGTGCACATCTGGTGCAGATCAGGTGCAGATTTGGTCAAATCAGGTTCAGTGTGTCTCTTAGTAGCTATCAGCTTAGGGTTGCACTAATTGCTTATATGCCTGCTTTGTCATATTATCAGACAGTATCATCGATTAAAATACTGAAATAAATTCATAAAATAAAGATATTTGCTGTAAAAGAGATTAGGTGCAGATTTGGTCAAATCAGGTGCACTCGCCGGATAGCCCGTCGTGAAAACGACTATTTACCTCATTTTTCCAAGTTGGTTTGGTTTCGGTATTTCCCCATGGGTTTGGTTGGTATTTGGTTTGGTATCGGCACAGACTTCTCTATATATGGACTGTGCGCTGATCCGAGGAAATCAGCATTGGAGGCCCAAAAATAAGTGCACTTTTATCCATCTTCTTACAATGAAAAGGGTGTCAGAATATTTACAAATTTGGATATAGGATAGCCCATACTTTTATCTACCTGTCGGATTACATTTTTTTGTTGAATTCAAAATAAATAAGAAATAAATGTATATAAATGAGAACATGTTTTCTCGTTCAGTTAGCCATTTGTTCACGCTGGAGGTATATACTTCACAAATGCAGCCGTACTTTGCGCGCATTTTCTTGCTTTTGAATGTTGGTTGCATTGTTGGTTGTCGTCGCTAATTTGTCGGAACTAGTCATTTACGTTGGTTTTGAAAAGGGTTTTGAGAAATAACGATACATTATATAGGGCCACAAGAAGCAGTAAAAATAAGTAAGAAATAGCTCCAAAAAATGGTCAAAAAAGGAAAGAAATATATTATCGATCACTACCTCATCACGACCGGATCAGAAAACGTGTGGTGCGAAGATGTCATTCCGGGTATCAAGCCAGAGTCAGGGCAAGAAAAATGTGAAACGAAACATAATTTCCAGCAAAAAGGCAACTTTTTAGCCTCCCGTATAGCTAAAAGGAAAAAATGTTCACAGACGAAACCATCAATCGAGATAAGAGATAACGCTGAGGACAATCAGATTTGCAAGTTTACTTTTGCAAACACTGACTCCTGTGAGACTCACACAGCAAGAAGAAAAACAGGACGCTATCGACGGCGCCAGTCTCAGCATACTTCCTATAATGCCTAGTGCCTTATTTTATTCTGGAGAAAAAAAGACTCACTGAAAGGAGCTACAAAGACTTAACTTGACCAGCAGTTAATGGGAAAAGAACAACTCGCCATCGCAGTTCGAAGCTACGCCGCGCTAAATAATGCCATACCCATGGCAGTGCCACTACATCCAAAAGAAGTAAGCTTATTCAATCAAACAATGAAGTTTATCCAGTGTGTCGGATGGGGATGTAGTTCATTATAGTCTGGATCAAATCATCTCGGAAGAATGCTCGATGAAATGATGGAATTCGTACCCTTCGCATCAATGTTAAACGATGAAGGTTGCCGCTCTTAAATGTTACCGCAAAACTTGCATCGGGATCGGGAAGCTCAAGAATACGCCAGTCTGCGAAGAACGGACGGAAAAATAGCGGTGGAGCAGAAACAAGATGCATAGGACTGATTGGAGTATAAGTAGCTGGGACAAACATCTGTGCCGGTGGTGGCCTGTTATTACAGGAACTTCTACTTTGGATATCTCAGGAAACTGGCAGGTCACCATTTCTTGGCCAGCTGTGGACATTTTTGATGGAGAAGCCAAGAAATGTGCCAAGGGCGAAGAGCATATACTGTAACTAACGAGCTACAGAATATGACGGAGGCGCCGGGGGCACTAATCGTTTGGCCGAACGGGGAAGAGCACTCGATCCGCGCCCCGGCAGGTTACCTGTGCTCCAGCTTCCGAGCTGAGATGGTCGCCCTCCGAGCTGCTCTCTCCTAGCTGCTGGAGAACCCGCCGCACGCCGAAGACACCATCGTAGCCTGCACCGACTCGCAGTCCGCCCTCGCCGCCATCCGAGGTGGCTGGGCCGCCCAGCACTCCTCGCTCGGAGTGGACATCTGGAGAGCCCCCTGGGGACTGACAGCTGGAGGCCTGTTGGTCTACCTACAGTGGGTGCCCTCACAATGCAGGTTTGAGGGCAACGAGAGGTCCGACACCATCGCCAAGAAGGCAAACATACTCGACTAAAAACAAATCCTTATAGACGTCCAGAAGGCCCACTGGGCCGCCGCCAGAGTGGCGAGGGCTCGCACCGTCGGGGCCTGGCCAGCCGGCTGGTTCCACCAGCTGACGGGGATCGACTCCCGCCTACCGTTGCCGGCGGCGACCGGCCAGCGGCGGTGGACATCTGCACCAGCTCCGCGCCGGCCACTGGACAAGCTCCTCCCAATGGCGCCACAGAGTCGGGTTGGCGCCCTCCTGGCTGTCGGGGTGCAACCAGTGCGACGACCGACAATGCAGAGCCGCACTCTACCCGTCTGCTGAGAGGAGGCGGACAGCCCAAGTATGTCCTCCTGCGGTGCCCGGCTCTGATGGGCACCCGACATCGACTGATGGCGACCATCAACCCCAACATGGAGGAGGTGCGGAGCGGCAGCATCGTGGTGGCCCTGGGGGCCGCCCACAGGTCCCTTCAGAGCTGCTCGGCTACGTCTCCATGGGACGAAGGGACACAATAAAAGCAACAATAGCTACAGCATGACAACGTGATGGGAACGACCGTCACAAGAGCTATCGCCTTATTCAGCAGCGAGTGGAAAACGAGCAGACGGAGGGATACGTTGCAATTGGTGATGCGCATGTGCGAATGTGTGAAAGTGCGACTATGTGTAGATGCGTGGTGCGAAAAAGTGGGTAGCAGAGAAGAACAGTGAAGACACCGTTGCAGCAGACACACATTTTCCCGTAAAGTCCCCCATCGGCATTACCGCCAACCTTTACCACCAGCGCGGTCGGTGCACTGTCGCGCGAGTTTGTAGCCAGCCATGTCAGAGATGTGAACAATCCAGCACACGGGGGAAGAAGAAAGGGATGATAGCCGCCCTTTCTCGCTGGATCCCGCGGTGAAAATGGACTAACGCCATTTTCAAGCCCACTGGTGCAATGTGAGATGAACTTGACATGAGGACATCAATGGGTGTCGATGAACGTGAAATGATGTTCCAATACAGATTCATATCGACCAGAAGCCTTTCTTATTCTGAGCTACGAGCAATAGATAGTACAAAAACAAAATATATTACATAAAATTCAGCCTGTCGACAGGAAACAATAAAAGGGTATTGTGCTACAACATATGGGTTCATATTACGGCTTCAGAAATTTGGGCCTCCAATGCTGATTTCCCAAATCAGCGCACAGTCCATATATAGAGAAGTCTGTGGTATCGGTATTCAGATTTACCGTAATCGACATCACTTTTGGGTAACACCGCCCACTTGGGAAATTCGGTATTTAAAAGCACATTGTGACACCTAACCCAGGAGTGGCGCATTTCAAGTAAAGAAATAACGTTGTTACTATGTTTTCTTTTATGAGGATACCTAATGAAAAATTTCGAGAAAATGAAATTTTGAGACTTTAAGTCGTCTTGTTATATAAATGAGTACTACATTGTACCAGGGATACAATAAAATCGTTTCGACTGTGTTTTATAATTATACTAAAACGCCTCGAAATTTACGATAAGAAGAACAACTTAACCCTCGCCCCGTTGGGGGGGCCATTTTGGCCCCCCTGTGGTTTTTCCTGAATAGCAAGAAAACGGCGGCGCGCAGCGCCGCCAAATTTTCAGTACCTTTCCGGGCATCAATTTGACACCTTCACACCAAATTTCAAGTCTTAGGTCACCTTAGGTCAGGAGTTATTGAGGTCAAACTGAGGTCATGTTCGAGCAAAAATGAGCAAAAAACATGCAATCTTGAAACGCTCACCAAATCTACAGTTATCAAGCAATTTCAAAGTTCTTTATATGGTCTAATAGACAAAAAACGGCGCTACAAAACTGCTATCTCGGATTTTCAAAATTTTGGGTTTTTGACCCAAAAAAATTCAAAAAATTGATTTTTTTAGAAAAACAAAAAAAAATCCAAAATTTTTCCGAATTTCGAAAAAACCGGAATATATGTGATAGTCCCTGCGCTCTTCTATATACATACCAAATTTCAGATCGATATCTCGTTTTTTGGCCAAGTTATAGCGAAAAAACTGTTCAAAAATGATGACGTCAAATTTTTGAACTCAATTTTTAGCGATTCTAGACCTCGTACGGCAAAACAAAGACCACCATTGAACTCCCCGTGACGAGCTGCATCGATTCGATACCCATTTTATGCAAAAATATCAACTTTGAAATTTGACCTAATTTGACCTGACCTTGACCTGACCTTGACCTGACCTTGACCAAAACGTGACCTAAGCTGGCCCCAAAGGCTGCCTGACCCACATAATCGCATTTGTCATGTAAAATGGACCATAAAACATGTATCACACGACACTTTCATATTGTGACCCCCCAGTGACCTGACCTCAGTGACCTGACCTGGTATCAGTGACCTCAACTAGCAAAATGTGTTTGAAGAGCATTTCCCCATCGATGATTTTCAATGAAATGCATTTTACTCGATTTTACAACTCATTTCTTGAAATGCCTGTAAACGGTGAAAATTGGACCTTTGACCTGACCTGTGACGTCATCGGTTTGACCTAGGTCAATAAAATTGGGTCACAAGGTAGTTCCCTGATAGGGCTATCCAACACCGTTTGCCGCTTGTCGCTACGTTGCGTGGTTCTCGAGATCTTAGGGGGGGGGGCCAAAATGCCCCCCCCCCCCCAACGGGGCGCGTTGCTCGGCAGAGCCCAACGGGGCGCGGGTTAATAGTTAGTCCAGCAATCTGCAAATTTTGTTGCCTGCTGAGCTCGGGCGGTGTTACTCAACGGTCGGTGTTACCCCGAAAAATGTAGACATTTACTGAATGTGGAATAGTGCAATTATGAACAATAAGAAAACATTTGGTTGATGTATGTAAAATTGATGCGACAATCCAATGAAACTGAGAGATTGATCATTTGGCCAAAGATTACGTGACTAGACCCTAAAAGGTTAAGGGTGTCGGTGTTCCCCCGTCTTCCCCTAAAGTAAGTCTGAGTTACGTGCAGTTGACATGTGCGCAGTGATTTTTATTTCCTATAACCATGCATGAGTGACATTTTCGCATCCACCATTCCAGCTGTTGCAATGCCCACGCAGGCAGCTGGAAATCGGTGCCTTTGCTTAGTCAGACGCCACATATTCACTGCGCGATCGACGGGCGTGCTACTGGCGTTCGTTGATATCGCCAGCTCAGTCAGCGCACCATTGGTTCGGCACAGCCGCCCCGTGGCGCCCCCTGAGCAGGTGCGAGAGACGGGATCGGGTGCCCGAACGGGACGCCATCTATTGGACCAGTGTGTCCCTGCGACGATAGGTCACACACTGCTCGGCTGCATAGGCGGCGGAACGATTTGAGACAAGGGGGGGGCACCAGCTCAAGGAGCCAAACCTAGGGTACCCCCAAATCCTGTTTTCTCATCGGATTTAGGCCACTTATTTTTCGTCACAGCCCTGACACGATGATTTTTTTTTTTTACTACACGAAAATGGCAGTTCACACCCGTATGTGTGGTTAACTTTAAGCTGATCCTCAAGTACCTATGTGTTTGTCTCTTCCTTATTCTCGTTTGATAAATTTCATTAATCCTACATGTATCAAATTACCAAAAAGCCATCGCAGTACTAATCAGTGGCGAATCCCAGGGGGGTGGTCACATGGGTCATGACTTTGGGCCTGGGGTCACCACATGCCTGCCAGGAGCACCACAGGCCTGACAGCCGACAGGGGCACCACAGGCCCGCCAGGGGTACCACAGGCCTAGCAGGGGCACCACGGGCCTGTCAGTGGCACCACAGGCCTGTCAGGAGCACCACCGGCCTAGCAAAAGCACTACAGGTCTTTCAGGGGCACCACAGACCTGCCAGGGGTACCAGAGGCCTGCCAGGGGCACTATCGGCTTCGCAGGGGAACCACCGGCCTCGCAAGGGCACCATGGGCCTGTCAAGGGCACCACAAGCCTGTCGTTGGCACTTTAGGATTGTCAGGGGCACCACGAACCTGTCAAGGGCACCTGCGTTCTAACAGGGGCACCACAGGCTCGCCAGGGGCACCACAGACCTGCCAAGGCCCAGGGACACCACAGGCCTAGCAAGAACACCTTTAGGCCTGTCAGGGGCACCACGGGCCTGTCAGGGCCCATGGGCACCTAAGTCATGTGCAGGGCCCACCGTAGGCTTGTCAGGGGGCAGGGAAGGTAGGTACCACAGTCTTTCCAGGGGCACCAGCGGTCTAGCAGGGGCACCAGTCATCAACGACTAACCAAAAATAAAGAAAATAAAAAACTGAAAATAGGGCACCACCAAAATTAAGTGGCCGAAATCCGTTGAGGTTTTAATTTTGGGTATAGGTAGGGGCACCACTTCGATTCATGACCCTCCCCTTGGAGTTTTCCCGAATCCGCCCCTGGTACTTATACATCAAATTTAAGGGGGGCACCTTGCTATTGGTGCCCCCCTTGCAGAATTCAAGGGGGGCACGGTGCCCCGGTGCCCCCCCCCCCGTTCCGCCGCCTATGCTCGGCTGTGGTGTCCAACAAGGCGCCAGTCATGCGCACATTCCGGTCAAAAAGATATTTGACAATTGTATCTTGTCACATGGGTTTTGTTAAAGGTGAAACTTGTACCACTGTCTGTAAATAAAATAAAATATACACCCGATCTACAACACGGCCGCCAGAATGTCCTCCTCCTCTTCCTCAGCCGGCGCGGGTGGCGCCGGGGCGGCCGACACTGGCTCTGGGTCAGACGACTCAGCAGCGGCCGCGGCGGGGTCACTGCCGACGGAATGGACAAGTGCCAGCTCCTCCTCGGTCCCCGCACTGTCCACCGCCTCCGCTGAGCTGAGGTCGCTGACCTCCGCTACCGTCGAGTCCACGGCGTCGCTCACGCTCGTCTGCACGGTGTACTCTCTCGTGTCCTCGGTCTGAGGAGCCTCGTCCGAGGAGCCCGCAGGGGACACGGCAGCCACTTGGGCAGCCACCTCAGCAGCAACATCGGCCACTTCAGCAGCTCCATCAGCCACCTCGGCAACCACTTCAGCAGCTACATCAGCCACTTCGGCGGCTTTATCAGCCACTTCGGCAGCTACATCGGCCGCTTCAGCAGCTCCATCAGCCACTTCGGCGGCTACACCAGCCTCGGCAGCAGCCTTCTCAGAGGCGACTACTTCTTCAGGGGTCTCCTCGCCGCCCAGAAGTTCTGCGACCGATGCAGTCACGTCTTCCTCACCGGTGGCGGAGATCGCCTCAGGAGCCATTTGCTCCTCCCCAGTGTTCTCTGCTGTCACGTCGGGCTCGACGGCGCCTGTGACATCCTCACTCTCACCGACCGGGGCCCCGGAAACAGCCGTGGAGACGGTTACTTTGATGGGGTCGGCGTCGACCTCAGCGGCAACCAACGGAGATTCGTCCGGAGTGACCTCACTGGCGACATCGGAGCTGTCGATGGCATTGCTTTCGGCGGCCTTGGCCTGTTCCAGGTCCGCCTCCGCGGTGACAATTTCCTCCGCCTGCTCGGGGATGGACTGAGGCGGCTCCTGGCTGAGTGCCTCTTCCTGTTGGGCGGGTTCTGCCTCCTGCTGGGCAGGTTCTGCCTCCTGTTGGGCGGGTTCTGCCTCCTGCTGGGTGGGTTCCGTCTCCCGCTCAGTCAGCTCGGGAGCGGCAGGTGCAGCACCGTCCTCAGAAGCAGTGGCCTCGGCGGGGACAGCCTCTGCGGAGCTCGGGGGCTCGTCGGCAGCCACCGACTCGGCCTCTGCCTCCTCCTGGCTCTTGGTGGGTGTCTCCTGGATGACTACCTCCGGCTCGGCGGAGGTGGGCGGCGCCCCGCTGGCTCCCGGCGCCGTCTGAGAGCTGGCCTTCTCCGCGGCGCCTTCTGCCGAGTCCGTCTCCTGTGGACTGGGCTCCTCCGATGGCTGGGCAGCCTCTGCAGACGCCGCCTCCGCCTCCGACTCGGTGGCGGCGGTATCTGAAATGTCACCGGCTTACGTCAGCGGGCAGGATCGATTAGAGCAGACACCGTGATAATGAAGCGATACGTCGGACATTAATTAAGAGTTGCCGTGATGAGGAACACAACCGGTAGCGATAAAATAAATTGGATGACAGGACACATTGAAATTAGCATTAGCAACTTAATCGGCTGAATATAGTATATGATTGTCCAATGTATACCAATTGTCCGGCCGGACATTCAGGCCTGTGTTGGACATCCGGGCAGGTTTGAATGCGAAGGCACTAAATGCATCGGATGACCGATACTTTCACCCACAGCTAAGCCGGGCACATCAGCGAAACTTGGGCCGCTCAACAGGCTTGTCAGATGCACAGGTAATCGTCATGGCAGAGGCGGCCTAAGCAACCACTTTCTACCGTCGCTTCGTGGAAAGGGAAAGGTGAGTGCATTGTGCAAATGTCCAACAATGAGCCATGCGCTGTCCTGACTGCCTTGGCATGCAGTTCGGCCGGAGATGGGCTTACAATGACAGAGAGATACATAAATCAATGACAATGCACCACGTACCATTCAGTTGGAGACTGCGCGACTGTCCGTAGGCTCTGTAGACGGTCAGGCCGGGGCGGACCTGCTCCAATCCGCTGCCATCGTCCACGGGCGCTGATTGGCAGACATACGCCAGCAGCAACACCTGTCGATAGGAGACGAACACAACACCGCACATCAGCTTCAATCGAATACGAGCTGCACGATACCGAGCACGAGCAGCAGGGCCTCCTCTAACATACCCACTGGGTGGGCAAATGCCCACCCAGTCACCGCAATTGCCCACCCAGTGGCGTCGATTTGCCCACCCAGAAGCAAATGCAAAAATTCTGGTCCGGCCGGACGTCCGGTACTACCTTTCTGGTCTTAAGCAAACTGGATGCTGTTTGAAGGTCAAAAAAAGTTTTCTGGTTGCCCGATATTCAGGGGCGTAGTCAGAATTTCCTCAAGGAGGGGGCTAAACGCACAGGGGCCCAAAATAACCCCCTCAAAATCCAAAAAGCCATCTGGTTGGATCCAATAATTTTTGGAGGGGGCCCAAATAAATATAAAAATATCTATAAACAAAAAATATTAGAACTGAGGGGGTAAGCAGTCCATGGGCCCTGTTAGATAGGCCCACGAATAGCTTCCTAGAGTCGCCAGTCGGTTTTGAGGGCGGTCTGAGGGCCCGTAGGTCGGATGAGGGTTCTTCAGACCGTCACAGGCCCCTACAGCGCATGAGAGCCTCGTAAGCCGTCTGAGGGTCATATAAGCCGCCTAAGGGCCACTAAGACCGACAAAAGCCCTCCTTGCACTTGCAGAGGCCCAGTCATGCCGACGGAGGGCTCTCTCAGACAAACTAAGGACCCGTTCAGGGCATTTGAGGGCTTCCTCAAACCGATAGGGGTCCCTCAGATCGACAGTGGATCCGATCCGAGCTCCCTCAAACCGATATAGGGTCAGATCAACAGTCGGAACGCATTGATTCTGTTTACACACCGTTGGACTCAAGTTGGACCCATCCCATCCAACTGACCCCCTGGTTTCAATAGGGCCCCAAGGCTCTAAAATTGGGGCTCTCTTGGCCAAGGTATAACTACTCAGCTGTGTCAAAGGATCTGCCGCAGGGGCCTTTGCGTCGCCAAGGGCCCACTGTGTCAGCCAGGGGCCCCTATAGAATAAGGACCCCTGGCTTCCAGGGGGGGGAGGGCATGGTCCCTTTGGCCTCCTCCTTGGCTATGCCACTGCAGGTGACAAGCGTTCTACCAGGCGACCAGGGGGCAGGGGCCAGGCGACCAGGCCCCCAGGCGACCAGGGGCCCCAAGGCGACTAGCCCCCAAGCGACCGGGGCCCTCTGGGCGACCAGGGGCCCCAGAAAACCGGGGGTCATCGGATGAGTGCAGGGGCCCATTGGGCCATCAGAGGGCCACATAAATGAAACTTCGATATCAATTTTCTTCCGAGTAAAAGACGTTTTATCCAGTGTTTGAAAAAAAAATATCCCGGGGCCTGGGGGGCTCCCCCATGGCGCGTTTTGCGCTCAAGGGAGGGGGCCATTGCCCCGTGGCCCCTCCCCCTTGGCTACGCCCCTGCCGATATTGTAATTCATGGACAAAGCCAGCTAAATCTCTAAATACGGCTGAGCTAAACAAATAAGCAAGAATCATTACCGGTTCGGGTAGCCTTTACTACAATGTATTATGTTAGTTAGCCCTCGCCCGGTGAGGGGGGTTGATGCACCCCCCCCCCCCTAAGGTTTTTCCACAAATAACGTAAAAACGGCGGCGCTCAAATTTGGCATACCCTCTGGGGCAACCTTTTGGCACTTGTCCTGAAAATTTCAGATCTCTAGTCTTTTCAGGTCAGGTCACCAGGTCACAAACCCCGTACAAGGTCAGGGGAAAATTGGACTAGTTTAGCGGCAACCGAATGCCAGAGTTTTTCGTTGATAGCGTGAGTTCTATAGCTCGTAGCGCTACCAAATTTAACCCTCGCCCGCACATGCCATTTTCCCATCCTAGAACGCACATGGGGGGGGGGGTTGCTACCCCCCGCGCCATTTCGTTCCTGTTGGAGATAGAGCTTAGCGGTAAAGACCAAAAAGATTTTTTGGGAAGAGAAGAATCCAATGATACCCAGTTTTACCATCTCAGGTCAGTCATTGACCTTCCAGGTCAGGTCAAACTAAAAAATGTTGCTGTTTTTGGTCACCGTTGAATATCAAGTGCGCTGCTCATCATATACCGATGACGATGCCGTTTTCTGGTGCCAAGCCAGCTAGAACCTCTTTGTCACACTACCCGACCAGGTTTTTGCTGCTGAGGTCATTTCAGGTCAAGTTAGGTCAAGGTCAATTATATGTGTTTGTATGTCTGTGTGTGTCTGTGTGTATACTGATGTGTGCACCGATTGGTTATGTGTCCATATTACATGAAATCATGATCTGAGAAGCTTTTACCAAAAATGCAGTCAAAAAAAACTTCACAAAAAGTAAATTCCGCTTGCCTAAAACGCAATTATCTGAGATGACCTAGGTTGACCTTGACCTTGACCTTGACATCTGTACATCGTCGAACAACATGTTCCATGATAGGTGGGAGGTAAGACTGGCAAAAAAGGCCGAAATCAAGGTGTCAAAAGCTCACAAGGCCCATAGCCAACGCAAGATGTTGAGAATTGGCCATTTGGGTCATGACATGACCTGAAAAACAAGGTCATATCTCCGAAACCAAAAATCACAGAAACTTGAAATTTTCAGTGGACGTCACGAAAGGATAGAGGAGCAGCTATACGAAAAATCAGCCTTCTAGCTCTAAAAATGTTGAGTGCAGAGCAGAAAGACTACCTGAGGGGGGGCAACCCCCCCCCCCCATGTGCGGGCGAGGGTTAAGACACGACTTGGAGCATCTGTTTGTCACTTGGCCTTGGAGTTTTAGGTTCCAGTGACCCGAGGCCAGGTCACAAGGTCACAAAAACTGGTACATTGTCAAAATAGCAAGAATACCGAATAAGAATACCTAGCACGCAGTTTGCGGAGGGCTGTACATGTAACTCTGGAACGAATCGCTCGAGCATCGCTAACCATAAAACATACGACAAACGTTAACTTTGCAAACTATCATCTTATTTCCAATAACGGCACTGCTTATTTCGCCTCACCCCCGCCCCCCCCCCCCCCCGGTAACAGGTTTTGAAATTGGTTGAACCCCAAAACAGTGGCTGGATTCGCCCTTGGGCAGGGGAGTAGCGAAAATTCTGCCCACCCAGTGAAAAATCCTTAGAGGAGGCCCTGACGAGCAGGAAACTTTACTTAGATGTTGCAATATTCTGCAATTGAATGATTAATCACTGATATTAAGCACCTCAAATCGCTGTACCTCATCTGATTCTGATCCGCATGAAAATATCACTACCGGCTGGTCAGACAACTTATTGCAACATGAGCTCGATACCAGTATAGATACCTACACATATACGTATAATATTTCCGTGCGCAGCAGGCATGCATAAATCCACACCGAAGGCAGGCACACACAACGGCACGCAGACTGCCACCCAGACCGTCCGGTCCGTCGTCCCCTGGGCGCTCAGAGAGATGTCATTACCTCGGGCCGAGCCGGGGAAGCCGACCCGGGGCGGAAGGGCTGATTGATGCCGATGTCGCCAACCAATCGGCCCGGCTCACCGGCCCGGCACGCCAGGAATAGAGCGCCGGCTATTGTTGGAGTGGGCTGCTACCACGCGCGGGAGTCCGGTATTCCCTGCCCAGCAGGGTTGTGCTTGACTCATGAGTCGAGTCAGAAATTTGACTCAACTCTGACTCAAATGAGTCAGATTTGAGTCGAGTCGGATAAAATGTTGAGCTGTTGAGTTGAGTCAGAGTTGAGTCAGACAAAAATATTAAGGTGTCGAGTTGAGTCAGAGTTGAGTCAGTAAAATAACTTTTGACATTGAGTTGAGTCAAGAACATTTAGGAACATGAGTCAGCTGACTCAACTTTTTAGAAACAATATATAGTATAAGTTTTTCATTCTCCCCCCGTTTAACAACTTAGGCCTGGCCCTGCTGCCGGATTTTTCACCCCCTCCCCCACCGCTCAACAACTTTTTTATCTGAGTCAATTTTGAGTCAACACACTTGACTCAACAAAAAAATTGAGTCAAGTTTGAGTCAACTCATATTTTCATTGAGCCGCTTGAGTCATGAGTCGAGTCAAGGGAAAAAATCAGCTCCTTGTTTGAGTCAGAGTTGAGTCAGGGCATTTTGAAGTTGAATGATGAGTCGAGTCGGCAAATTTTTTTGAGTCGAGCACAAGCCTGCTGCCCAGATCGAGTTACTCTGTGCTGCCCACAACATTTGCGAAAATCCAGTATACTTCCTTCCTATAGGTAATGATGATAATAGCCGTTTTCACGACGGGCTATCCGGCGAAGGCACCTGACTTGACCAAATCTGCACCTAATTTCTTTTACAGCAAATATCTTCATTTTATGAATTTATTTCAGTGTTTTAATCGATGATGCTCTCTGATACTATGACAAAGCAGGCATATAAGCAATTAGTGCAACAATAGCTGATAGCTGCTAAGACTTAAGAGACACACTGAACCCGATTTGACCAAATCTGCACCTAATCTGTACCAGATGTGCACCAAATGTGTACCAGATGGCCGTCGTGAAAACGGCTAATCTTTCACCAGGTCCAGATAAGCCTGTTCCCCTTTTCTTTTATCGGTTACAAATGTTTTTTCTTCTTCTTAACCCGCGCACCGACGGGGGGGCGGATATCCGCCCCCCCCCCCCTGAGGTTTTTCGCGAATAGCGGGAAAACCGCGGCGCGTAGCGCCGCGAAATTTGGTATGACTATAACCTCATCAATTTTACACATGGTGTGTAAGTTTGAACCTCCTACCTTTTAAGGTCAGGTCACCAGGTCACTTTGAATGACCCAACCTCAAGTCACTTTTTTGCAACTTTGTCACCGTGCCAGAGCTACAGTAGATGTCGGAGGCCTTTGAAAGTCGCAGGATATTATTAGGTCATTAGTAGCTACAATTTGTATATCTCGGAATTTTGATATCGGTGACCTAAGGTCAGGTCAATTTCGCGACCTCCCCATTATAAGTCAATGGGGGAAAAATCAACTCCCTGTTTTTACCACTAA